ATAGAACTTTATTAATCTCAACTTCCCCTCTGCATTTAAACCATCCCCTTGCGGAGCAGTGGGCTGCCGTTGTGTGGCGCTCAGGGAGAAGTTTGGGGTTAAGGGTCTTGTTCAGGGACCCAGAGTGGCAGTTAGTGGGAGTGGGGCTTGAACTCAGAACCTCTGGATTCATTTTTTTATTCCTTTAGTTCAAACTAAATCAGGCGAATAACAGTTGCCATATAGGTCTATCCTGTTTTGTAAGGCTCAGTCTCCGGTGTTCAGATTACTAAGAGGCTCATGTCTCATTGCTAATAGTAAATATACTCTTAAACTTGAAAAATTACAGCATAAACAATCAGCATCCTTTGCTTTATGTTTTCTCCATCAAAAAGATGTGCTGTCATCTCCCCAAATACTTATTTCAAACTTTCTCAGCAGACAGGAAGCCTCTTGCTGTGAGCAGATAATCCAGGTTGGTTTACTGTGGCCCCTGCTGCCAACAAACGCATCACATGGTGCAAACAGATGATTCCCAGGATGCAGAGCCAATGGCAGCAGCCTGCACGTGATTCAGCAACGGCTCCAAACACACAGGAAGAGAGGGGAGGGGTGAAAGCACCAACTATCAGGCCACTGTAACAGGATGTACTTACTGCCCTGCGCTAGGCTGCCCCAAATGTAATCCCTCTCCTGCCAGGCACGCATTACTGCCCTGACAATACGCCGCTGTTACTGTACTGTGATGGCTGGGATCTGCAAATCAAGCCATGATGAGGGGCATGGGCGGTTCTAGACAGGGGCCAACGGGGGCCAGTGCCCCTGTAGCTCATGTCCTGGCCCCTTACTGAAGACATGATACTCAAAGAAATACTAATGATCATATTCACTGGAACACACATGATTAATGATAGGTCCTTTGGATCTATTTCATTTTTTTCTTTCAAAATACTGTTTTACTAAGTATTTAGAAACAATAAGCTGATAGCTTCAATGGTATTGAGATAGAATCCCAGTTTTTATCTGCTAAATGTTTTTTTCTAAACAAATTTAAGCCTGTTAATTTTTATCGTTAGCTGAATTAGACCACAGGATGGTTTTGCACTTAGACATGTAGTAAATAACCCACACTTGCACATAAATTGTGCTCAAAGTCTTTACTCATGTGTCACATCTAGTAAAGCGGTGTTCGTTGAGAGCAATATGTCAAAGGGGTTTGATGCTGATGATGATGATCCCCTCTGAGAGCTAAAGACTCGCATACAAACTGTGCTGCCACACAGTTTTCCTGTCAACCTAGGGCTATGCTGCACCTGTCCACCTTATGGTAGCTGCTAATATCTTTGATCCGGACTGACAGGGTCATCAACTTATAACCTTTACAATTTCCTTTTGCACCGACAAGTCTATTGGTTTTTCTGTGGTTTGAATGATGCTGTGACTAATGTGTTTGTCTGATTTCTAAAGAGCACCACCCTATGTTCTAAATCATTGCAATCATTTTATTACGATCAGATTATAATTACCTGTTTGGATCTAAACTGCTGGGTAGGAAGAAATGGATCTCTTGAACATGTTGACAGTTTTATTGCATTTCAACCACAAACATCTGTTTTCTAATGAAATTTAATGTAGTAGACCAACAAAAAGCAGGGCATAGATATGGTGGTTACAAAAAATACTATCATTTTTACAGCTGAATTTATCAGTTTTTCTTGAGTTCTAATTCAGATTTGATAGAAAACAGTAACTTTCACTTAAATTAAATCAAAAATATTGAAAATTCCTAAATTATGAATGTATACCGACCTAATAAGAGATAGAATTTTAATTAAACCTGATTGAATAGAAATTTCACTTCATCAGCTCTCTTAACCCTTTATAGGGCACTAAGTTAAATACTTTGAAAATCAAAGTTTCAAGCGAATAGTGTAGGAATCCAGGACAAGACCTTATTACCTTTGTAACACTAAAAAATATGGATATTTTGATGGCAAAAATGAAAGTCAATGTTATAACAATAAAACGCCAATGTGCCCGAATATATTAGGAAAAATAACAAAAGTGCTTCTATAAGAAATTCATGAAAAACAGTCAGAGAGTGAAAGAAACACATTTTGTTTAGTGAAACATAACCTTAGAAGCAATAATGCTGATACTGGCACTTACATTTTTTAGTTTATAAACCAAAATATAACTGTTAACTAGGCTTATTAACTTTTTAACTTTTTTATTAAGTTTTTACCTTTTATTCTTGACTTAACCTTTTTTAACTTAATTTCCAGTAGGTAATATATCGTTCAAGGGCTCATCTAATCGGTCAAATGCCAAATTAAGATGTATAGCCATATAGCATTATCTGTGCTGGATATAGATCTTATGCTTCTAGATCTCACTGAGGGCTCCATCTGTAATGGGGTATGCAAGTGGTCCAAAACACTAACTTGCTCTATAAAAGGTTTATATATTTGAACCACTTGCCCTGTTTTTTTTTATTTCATGCTTTACTGTGCCCCCATGAAAACCTGCTGGCCCCCTGCTACATCTGGTCTAGGACCGCCACTGCTGAGGGGTCTCTTCTGTCCTTGTGTTTGTTTGTTTTTTTCATAAGCAGCTGCAGCATCCATGCGCTGCAGGTTGTCTGTTTACACCGGCCTGTCAATAACAACAGACACTTTGTTTTCTTCTTATTGTTAGAATGGAACAGTAGCATCCAGCTCTATGTGATGTTTCCACTCTGCTCCATGAACCAGGATGCAGGCTGTTTCCTCCTACCTGATGGCGAGCAGCTCATGCAGCAGGTAGGCTGCAGCGGCCAGCAGGGCCCCCCCGGTGATGTAGAGCGTCTTCTTCCACCAAGACTCCGAGACCAGAGCCGACATGATGCCTCCGTAGTCCTGCAGGGGAAAGGCGATGATATAGCCATACAAGGACTGCTGCTGCTCGGAGCCGCAGAGGCCGAGCGGCAGGCTGTGGTTCCGGCCCAGTTCCACCACGCACGGCCGGGAGGAGGCGAAGCCAGCAGCCCAGTGCATCCTCCCAGCTTCGGTTACAGCCGCCCGGCTCCCTGCCAGCTGAGATCCCCGCTCGGCTTCATCCAAACCACCCGGTGGATTAGCTACGGCATGGCGGCGGGGCTCAGAGATGATTATCCATTAAACTGAGCGATAAAAACATAGCGGGGCCCTTCCTTCAGAGGAGGATGCTCGGCGTCCTGCTCTCCTCCCTCTGCGGCTTCTAGAAAGCGTTGGAAAACATACTGGAAAAAACTAGCTGCGCTGCTTCCGGTTTGACCTTTCAAAATAAAGGTCTCATCAGAGGTTAACTGAGGTTTTCCAAATGTCCCAATATTGATCTAATTAATGGGTTCCCAAACATTTTAACCTGTGACCCAAAATAACAATGCAACCGACTGGCGAGCCACTATAAAAATACATATAATCATAACACTATACATTTATTTAAAAATATAAAAAGTGGTATTTATGTTATTTTGTTTTAAAAGACAATTATTAGATTAATAGTCTTAAATGCATTTTTTTTGTGTATTTATGTTGATATTGAATAATTCACTTTTAAATTTTAATATTTAAATAAAGTATTATTAAATAAATACATAATGTGACATTACCTATTTGGGGATATTTACGTTTATGTATTTCATGATACATTTTTGTCCCTCCAAGTATCCCTGGGATCACATCACAATGATTGTGAGAACCATCTCACTGTGTGTGAGAACAGCTCTGTATATTTCCCTTAATTCAGTTAAATTAATTATCATCCTAAAGATGACTTTAGTCTGTCAAAGTTATTTATTATTGGGGGGGTCAAAAGCAAAAGGTGAATACTTAAAATAACCAAGAATAAAACACATATTTTCAGTTGTTTCACAATTTTTTTGTTAAGTATATAATTCTTCATGTATTAATTCATAGTTTTGAATACTTCAGCGTGAATAATTCTTATCTAACATTTAAAACAATAATAATAAACATAATTATAATAAATTGAAGGTGTAATAACAAATAGAAAACTTATGAAATGTTGTTTTACTTTGTAAAAGACAAGTGGCATCATTTCCGGTATGGAGGTGTCCGTCACCTTGACGTAGCTTCCCCCATTGTCTAACTCCGGTGATGGGGTCACCCCCATAGATATCCATAATATTATGGATATCTATGGTCACCCCGCCCTGCAGCGTCCCGGTGAAAACACCTCTAGCTTTCATAACAAGCTGAGCACTAATTCCCATAAATGGAAACCGACAAATAAACACCGTATTTACTTATTTTAAGTGTAAAAACGTTGTCGGACACGTGAGTTTGAACACATTTTAAAAATATAGTTAAATGAGAATTTAGCTAAAAATGTTATAATTAAGTATCTACTCACTTTGGAACAACCTCGGAGGTGCAGGAGGACGGTCATGTTGATGACCGAACCCTCAGCAGCAGCAATTGGGAGTTTATGAACTAATCAGGGACCTTTAATCTTTACGGTGTTCCGCGCTGCCATGGCGACCGGTGCAGCCGCGCGCCTTCTGGGAACGCGCACATTACAGTGCGCGCGTTTGTTTTATTCGCCACAGCTGGGTCGCGTGGAGGTTACATGCAGTGAAATTCAGTAAAAAAAATAAAATGCTCTTCATACCTTTATAATTATAATAACATTGTGTTTTTTATATAGATAAATAGATTATTTTGTTCTATAAGACGTTAGCATCCTGTCCTTGGTCTCATAAGAACATTGTGAGAGGATGATTTATTCTCTGAGGGGAGATTCTGTGTTACATAACTCTCCCATAGAAGACCCATCATAATCCAGGGTGAAGCGACCCCCTCCTCCTCCCCCTCAGAGTGGGCTTAAAAGCTAAATATGGAAAGATGTGAAGCCATGTTTTTATTAGCCTACAGCGTAACATAAATCTAAACTCCAGGAGATATAACTGACATAAGTCCATTTTAATAGACAATAATTTGTCTTAAAACATTCAAATTAATCATTGGCAAAAAGGAGAACAGCATCTGATGAAATTAACACACCAAAACGATATGCTTGAGATTTGGAGCCGAGGTTTCAGAACTACTCAAAGGCATCATCTTCAAACATCTTCTTAAGACACGTCAAGAGTTTAACAAAACCTTATTCCTAGTGTTCACACATCATTCGACACCCAAACTGTCTCTAATCGGTGTTTCACAGATGACCAGAGGCCCATCCAGCTAAACCTCTTGATCCATGGTTGATTTTTTTCCCCCCTCTTTGTTTCCGAAGCGGCTCAGCTGTGTGTGGGCTCACACTGGTCCCCATCGGGACCGTTTCTGTCCTCAGCTCCTACATCCTGTTTGACAGCATGGAGAGCATAGTTGATGGCAGTGGTGTTTGTCCAGCTCCAGGCTCCAGAAAGTGGGTTGTAAAGCATTCCTTGGACAGACTGCACCAAGAAACCATCTGAGAAAGAGGAAAAAAGCAGAAGAGGAACTGAGAAGGTGAAATTCAGTACAACTCTGCAGATAAATATCCAACAACTGCATGGGATTTTAACTATGATAACTGACACGTTAAGAAGTGCATTATTTTTCTTTATTTTTTTGCAGCTTTCTTTCCTTATTGGGGGAATCTGAGACTCACTGGACTCCAGGAGGCGCTCCAGCTCCACAGGGCTGACAAACTTCTCCCAGTCGTGTGTCCCTCTGGGAACGATGCGCAGCAGCTGTTCAGCTGCGACGATTGCCAGCGCGTACGACAGGTTGGTTTTATTTATCGTGGTGATGAAAAGCGAACCGCCAGGCTACAACAGAGAAACGACCAGAAACACTTCGATCAGGAAATGCAGACTTTTCTAAATTAAAGGTATAGATGAGGATGTTCTATTTTCAGGTGGATCATCTAAATAAGTGGTCCTCCTAATTGTCAATCATTCTGGTGATATGTTTACGTAAGGCCGTCCTACGTGCTTGTCCCCATTTTCATTTATCGGTGGTGAGTCTGACATTGTGGATAAATTGCAAATCTTCTTTTGGAAATTAAGCTTGTATGAGCTATGAGAACGGAAACTTTTAAACAGAGCGTGCACGAGGAGAAATACGCTTGTGCACGCTCTCGCACGTGCATAATAGGCATTAACTCTCAGGAGCGGGTACAGGGTTGTGTATGTGCATTTTTTTTTTAAGTGGAGAGGGCGGGTCTTCTCAAAAAATTCCTTGAAGATCACGAAAACCCTCGCCTATACCTTTAAAATGCATCATAAAAATGTCTCATGACATCTCTAGTGTTAGAATCACAAGAGATGTCACCCAAAGAAAATAGTGCAGTTCTTCCTAATACAACTTCTTATAACTAAAGGAGGTTTTTGACAAATTGGCAAGTTGGTGATGAAAACAAATTTAGCTTCAATATTAGGGAGTAGTTTAAAGTGACATCAGAAGAAGAAACAGCAGATAGATTTGATAAGCTACTTAAACCTCTGTGGTTCACTCAGATTGAGAGAAAGCAACACTTTCAGGAGATAACAGGAAGGCTGAAAGGAGTACAGCAGAATCAGCTTACAGTATCTTAGGCTCGCCATGATAAGTGCTGTCCCAATAGTGCTGGCAGTAGGGTAGGAGGTAGGTTAAGGAGCCTGTAATCTTCCCATCATAGTTATTTTACCATAGGAAGATCAAAAGGTTCCAAAGTGGAACTTTGAAGCTATAAGCAACCCCACAATCCAGAGCTAAAAAAAACTCTTCCTCACCCACCGTGGG